AAGAATCTTTTCTTGATTTTACTCACCAATTCGGTGCTTGCTTGCATTCTAGGATTTAAATTTATCTACGTAAAAAGAAGGAGTGGGGAAAGGAAGTGAAAGAAACAAACTTTTGAACTTTAACGATACGGAAGCCGTTAATGTGCAGATTACCTAGATACTCTGCAAATTACCTAGGTAATTTGAGAAATTGAACAATTTTCGCAGCTTTAACGGATCACCCTAGTTAATCTGCAGCTTAGCTAGGTAATGTACACATTAACGGATTTCGAGCTTTAGCGGTAACATATATACAAAATATAATTATTTATCAAATGAAATTATAAAGTATCACATTTAATAATTCATAATTTCATTGAATCCTGTATGAATAGTATATTCGATTTTTATTTTTTTTTGAATCCTTGTTAATATTACTGTTATAATTATAAAGTTATCAAATAAAAAAATCTAATAAGTTAATTGACTTAATTGTTGTCTTTATAAATGTAGATCAAATATTTGATGAAGAATGTTCATTCTTTATGCATTCGGAATAAAACTACTGTAGTTGTTTAGAGGTTTTCACCCAGGGTTTAGTCGCATGGAGTTTTCCAGGGTTTCTTCACATGTCTAACACCTAAATAGGGGCCTAATTCCAATAGAAAATCTTCTCGAAAAGTATTATGTCTAGAAGACCGTCCTTGTGTTGCATTGCTGCCTTACTCCATTCAATCCAATCTTCTTCTATTCGGATGCGGTTTGAATAAATACAATGAAACTATTTAGGAACCATCTCATTTAGCAGGAAGTCATCGACACTTTTGGTTAAATAAACTTCATTTCTCGCTTGTAATAGATCCCGTTTTATTCTGATCATTGAGTTTACAACATTAGCATAGGAGAAGTATTCAGTAGTATATTACGGATAAATAAGAACAAAATATGTATCTAGGGATTTTTTTTGAGTGCCGTGTTTGAATTTTCAATCTGATTTGTTTATCCGTTAGATTCAATCAATTGGAATCTCTCTTTAAATAAAAATAACCGTAGAAACGATAAGATTTAGAGGAAAATGGAGATGGAAACACTCGAATCTATTAGCTTCCAGATGTTGTTTCCAATCAATTGTCAAAGAAAGCGGTAAATAACTAATAAGCAATATTAGACGGAGGTAAATTTGAACCTGAAATCTCCATTCATCTCAAAAGATTGGAAATGGATTATGATGTCTAATTAAATAGTTTTGTTTTGTACAAGGGACAGTCTCTGTTATTTTTAAGAACCCTATAATAGCCGCATTCGCGTTGAAATTGTTTTAATGGTTAAATAGAATTTTTAAAACATTTTATATATATGTAATAATCATTAGAAAATATTATGGAGGAAAATAAATTTTTGGAGTTTACGATTTTCCCAAAATACTACAAGAGTTTTACAGAGGTCAGAATGAATTTTAAATTTTAATACCTTTCACGTTTACAAATGGCAGCAATGTTGTTACTTGCAAAACATTGAAGATGTATACACATTATATATATATATATATATACACACAACCTAAATCATTTACATTACGAAACCAATGAAAAGAAGGTTCTTGAATATAAATTTGCCATATACACACACGCACAATTAAGCGATATGTAAAATTTAAGATCCTTTTGAGTGTTTGGTGCAAATCAAATGACCCATCTTTATTTCCTCTAATAGGATCTGCATCTCTTTCAATGTTGTAATTCACTATCCAAAGTTGTAAGA